TTTATAAATAAGGTGGTGAATATACACAATACTCCTTCCTCCACCTATTTTCCCCCGAACAGCAACTCTGTTTGGTAGGTTGGGTTGAGAGAAAGTGACTGGCTCAAAGTTATCCAGCTGGTGACTCAGTCTTCTACTTTCTAGCTTAGTGCCGCAACCACTAGACTAGACCAAACTGGCGGTCTCATTGAAAGATCTCTTCTGATTAAATAGGAACACTTTCATCTGTCCTGTTCTTTGATGATACCAAAATTGTAAACTGGAAAACCAGTTTAATTAGAAATACTGTGTAAACAAACCAGCCTTCAAAGAGCATGTAAATATAATTTCTTTTTATGTGTCTGTGTATATGAAATTGTGTTTGACAAATGCAGCATGTTTTACAATTTTTGTATACGTGGATTTGGAGTATTTTGAACAGAAATAAATACATCATTTCAAAAGAGCCCCAAATCACTGTTTAACACTAAATATCCTTCTTTTAGATGAGGAAATAAAATAAATAGCCTTGTTTTAGAAAGGGAAATAATAATTTCTGTCTCTCACTGCACAGTTAATGAATTATTTGAATAGTACTTGTGTTCTTTGACTGGATGGAAAGATGGAACTAAAGGAAGAGGTTAGCACTGTTGAGCAGTTAGCGTTTCAGAAAGGTTGTTCAGGCCCAATTTTTATTCCCCATGAACTAGTTCAGTGTTGGCTTTGATAGAGTGACTTGTGTCTATCAGCTCGTACAACCTTCAGTAGACTATTCCATCATTCTTCTGCTGCCATTTTACCAGCAAAGATTAGTAAGATTTTGTTTGTGTCCTCATCACTCTCTGGAGGGCTTTGGCACTATACACTTTTTCTGGCCTGTGCAACAATCTTAGCTGTAAGGTTGTCTCTGATGGTGCTTGCTGGTGCTGGTCTTTGATGATACTACTGCTGCACTTGCCCACCCACCTAGACCACTAGAGAGTTGCCACAATTGATGCTATCCAGTGCCTAATCTGTTGAGCTGGAGGGAGAAAAATCTTCCATTTGGCCATTAAGTGGAGGTGGATGATGATCATGATGATCCTTTGCTTTGTTCTGGTGTCTCTATCTCTTGTTGGTTTAGTTTTGTTCATATATCTGGCCTATCTCCATCTCCAAGTGAATGATTTTCCAATACCACATGGCCTCTTGGCTGAGGCCTATTTTTGACAAACTGATAAATGAGATGGTGATTGCCAAGGCTGTTTCATTTGATCACCTGCTATTTTGTAATGCTGGCTTTTTCCATTTTTTCCCCTTGCCTTTTGGGGGTATTTGTTCTCATCCTTAACATGGAACCTAGAGATTTTACTAGTTTTTCCTGGTAGGATGAAAGACTGACTGAGGAGCTTCCTCCATAGGTCAGAAGGAAGCCTACCTGCCTTCTAACTAGAAAAGGTGCCATTAGCTATTGCTGTAGGCTCCGTTTTTCAATATCCAGAAAGATGCTTCATGATTAAACCCAAGTACCAATCCTTGCTAAAATATTATTTTGGATTTATAGATACTGTCATCTTTGGGTCGAATTAGTGAAGCACTGACTGATATCACTAAAGCTATTCAGCTGAAACGCTCAGCGCAGCTTTATCGACACAGAGGTATTCTTTACTTCATATCTGAGGTAAGACTTCAGTCCCTCATAGTGAGTTCAGTATGAGCATTAAGTATCCAGACATGTGAAAAAAAATTACTTTAGGCTCAGTGTGTTTTTGGAATGTATCCTTAGGGATTCTCCTGAATGCGGAGGCCTCCCCCCTAGAGTCTGCAACTGCAGCAGCTATTTTTATTTACTTGACTCTCCCTCCCCCAGATGCCTTTGTTTGAATTTTCATTCTTCTCCTGATATAAAGTTATTGCTATAGCCAAACATTTAACAATATTATGATAATCATAACATTAGGAAATGTTGTTCAAAAAGTAAGACAGCTTTTCCATTCTTCCTGCCTTCCATGACGCACCTCTTCCAGTAAGATTAGCTCATGGAGGCTTAATGTGGGTCTGCTTGTAAAAATGGGTTATGAAGGTTGGGAGAATCAACCCAGTCCTTGCAGGGAAACTGTACAGAACAAATGTTTAATGCTATGACATCTTTTTTTAAAAAATATTATTTTAGTTACTTATTTAAGGCATTTATATACTGCCTCTATAAAAATATTCAAATCTGCTTACATTTTTGTACTCAAAGAGAACATAAATATATCAGTTTGGGCATTTAAAAAAACTTGATGAATTAGGTCTCAGTATTTTAAAAATTTAAGGAATAACTGGTACCTTTAGGTGTTGGAATGAAGTCATTCCCACAAAATGTCTTTTGTTATTAGTGTAAATGCTATAAATGCAGATAGTCCCCCCCCCCGATCCCATTTATTGAATTAAGTTGGACAATCTGTTTTTATGCACATTTTTTCACAAGCAGTTCCTATTACATTCCAGTGGTTTTTACTAGGAAAAAAGCCTTACGGAATTCAGCAGGTCTTACATTAAGAAAATCTAATTTAATTTTGCCTAGTTGGTGTGTGATTGGTAGTTGTGCTTCTGTTTTAAGAATTAATATTGTGTAAGTCATAATATAAGTATTACATGATATATTTTGGATAGGTTCTAGAATTTTTCTCTATCTGATGAAAGCTATTTTTTCTGCAATAGGACTATGTAACAGCCAATGAGGATTTTCAAAACTCTCTTGAGTTGAACAAAAACCAACCTGTTGTTATGCTTTACAAAGGTTT